TGAATATGAGTGAGGTCATTATACACTAAAACTGTGCTACTTGTTTGTTGGTCCAGCCATTAATCCTAAACACTTGTACAGACTCAGTTGTTCATCTGATCCGAAAACACATTATTCGGCTATGTCATGTCCTTCGTATTTATTCTGAACTCCTCGGACATTTCGTAGAATTATAGGAATGAACAGATTTAGTCACTAAATTTAAACGAAATGTAACAAACCTGTTTCTGTTCTTCGCATAAGACGAACTCTTTTTTGGAATGGCTAGATTTTTGATAACGGCAAAACAAGAGACACTGGCTACCAACAAGAGCTGGCACTCCAGATACGTTCTTTGCACATTTTTGTTTAGATTTAATGTATTTCAGACACATATCAGATTCTGTGAGCTAGTTATTTTGTCTTGTCTATCTTAGTATGACTGTTGTGATGTATATAATCTCTAAAATTCATAGAGTCAATTTTCGGCATAATTAGTCCAGAATAGTTGGATACATTCGTTGGATTCGAGGTTTTCACGGCGGCGAATATGTAGATTGTCATTTTCTTGGAACACCAATTATGCGTCGTCGTTTTCTCGTATTTAATAAAATAATTCACTTCTAAGTTATCAGGAAAAATCTAGTTTTTTTTTGGAATAAGAATATGAAGTGGTTTTTATATTGCGATAAGTTCGCCCTGATGATGAGCTAGTAATAACCTCCGAAACGTTGGCGAACTTCTACCAGACTATACGGCTTAACACAGGATACAGTCATATTCAACGGTGATATGCTGCGCCTAAGAGGATGTTAAAATTATATCTTCGTTGAATTATTTGTAATTTTCCAGGAAAACAGAGCTCGAAGCAGGATTCGAACTCACAGTCTTTCTTGTTGTTCTGCTTATAGCACATCATTAAGCGAAGTAAACATCAGGTACATCGAGTTACATAACAAACTGTGACGAATTTTTTGTCTGTAACTAGACCGCTGGCTGTCTTCTGCGAATTCCACCAGATCCAGAAGTAAGTTGCATGTTCACGTTCTAGAGTTCAATGTATGGAACTTAAAAAGGATGTTAAGATGGCTGGCAGAACACGTTTATAAATACGACTCCACACTTTGGCGTCTATAGCTCATATCCGGAGGTGGCGATGAAAATAATTCATGCCCATGGTAAAAATACTACTCTGTGGTGACTCGCCTAGCCTCCCACAGAGACTGACAGATACAATTCCATTTCCTAAAGCTGGATGCACGTGTCCTGTAGGGGAGGCTCGGTGCTGGGGAATTGTCCGCATGGGTTCTAGTGTAGAGTCTACACGATATTCATCCAACGGAAAGAGATACGACGAAATAACCCCCAGACACTGTGAAGGCTATGGTTTCTACAGATGATTTCCATTGCCGATGCTGCGTATAGAGGTAAATGTAGGACCAGCTGGTGTGGACGTGTTTATTCAACGAACCTTTGTAAATAAGTCCTACAAGTGACATTCGGAATTGGGAAGACGTAATTGAAATTTAAACCACCCACATTTTAATATCAGAAACGTCGTTCGTCTACCTCTGACACGTGCTTCTTCTTTGCGCCTGCGTATTAAACATCTCAGACATCCTATCATTTGCATACTTCGTACATTGGCTTGTCACATATGCAAGTATACCATGTTTATGTAACGATATTTTTATGCGCATAAGATCGAACGCAGATGCGACTGCTGTGAATGGGCTATATAGTTGCTGTTTCAGACGTTTTTGAAAACAACGTTGGTTTGCGTAGTAGTTCATTACACCTACTCGCTAGTAACAGTAGTAAAATAAATATTTACCGCTAACCCTTTAAACCCAGTGGTAATTATGATTTTACAATAATTAAATCTGCCTATTTATAGTTTTGATAACAATACTAACAGTAAAGAGTAAATATTGTTTATACGAGCTTCGGCCTCAAAAGGTTGACCTAGTCCTCCATTAATCTTACCCTGGGTACATTAGAAAGGCCATGAGAATAATGAAATCACTTCAAGGCCTTGCGTAGCCTCTTTTCCCATGAAATTCATTCTGCAAGCGGAAAGTTACATATTTCGTAATCTGCAGGGAAATGAATAAACGTATCTTTAATTATAAATTTTAGTCGAAAAATCTGAAGGAAAGAGGCCATTTATAAGACATAAACGGACATGGCAGAAATATGATTTGAGGTTCCAGACTGTATTCATCTGGCTCAAGATAGGATTCAGTGGCAGACGAGGCATTACTTAACCAGCTTAGTGGCTTCTAGCTTCTCAAGAAGATGCTGTATGGAGTGGTGGTTTCTGCCGTAACGTTTCAAAAATCTCTTTTGGTGTCCTCGTACATCTTATTGTAAATTCCGTAGTAGAAGTTAAAAACGTTTAAGGAATCGAATACGTGTGAAATAAAATCTTCTTCGGATACCACGCTCCTTACACCAGCACCCCCTTTGAATTTGTCTCATGGTAAAAGAGCACTTGCAGATTCTTGCAGAGTCGAAAACCTTGTCGGCCGATCAGTACACTTCTCCTTTCGGACAGCTTTCTGTGATCTTTATGGTGATTAATTCCATTCCATGTCCATTGTGAAATGCAATGTTACATAAAGTTTTATACGGTCAGTAATGTTTGACAGTACTCTCCTAATAAGGTTGTACTCTTGGTGCCATTACATACAGCTGCAACACTTTATGAAGGTTTATTCTAGTTACGAGGGGTGGAAGAGACCTTGCTTAACACTTACGCGTACATTTAACACAGGAGTCCTATAAAAAAGGAGGATGACGTAACGCAGTTTGACCTCCGGTTCAGACTGGGCTAGACCATCCAAGGGCGTTTCCTAACATTCTAACAAGCTCAGAAGACTAGATGACGAAATCCATGTCTCGGCTCGTCCGCCGATCGCCAGGATGGGCGGACTGACTGGCTCCACCCAAGTGGTGCTTCGACGCTTGGGCAAAGCCGAAATGACAAAGGCCAGAAATGCTCCCACAATATTATTATTAATACTTTGAAGCCTGGAAGGAAAAGAGTACTTGAGAGACCTAGACGTGGAAGGGGTGATTAAGTGGTGTGCGAGGTGTGGGCTGGGTTCAACCAGCTCAGGATAGGGTCCAGTGACGGTCTCTTGTGAGTAGCTGCAGAGATTGAATAACGTTTCTGAAGGAGGCGATCGTGGGATATTTGAAGGTGTTAAATGCGGCATTCGCCTGCAGAGCCTGAAGAAAACCACGGAAGTCTGCTGCGTCCAGATTTCTTATGGGGGAGATATAGTCCTATTTCAGGTCGTTAGTACAGATACAGAAATGTATATTCCGAATACGTGTTGGAGAGCGTAGTGTTGTATTTTGTAAGCTAAAGTGGCACGCCACAGGAAACACATTAGAACCCTGTCATAAATCTTTAGAACCAAATCGGAACACGTTTATGGTTTCTGAGTCGGCAATCAGGTATTTTTTTTATTTTTATTTTTTTGCTGTGCATTCACTGAACAAAGGCTTCTTCTTTCAGATGTTATATTCAAGGTCAGTCTTTTCGAAGGTGTTCTGTGTGGAGAAGACGGTGGGTATAAATGCATGTTATAAATGAGAGCTTGGGGTTGGGTGTAAATGCATGTTATAAATGAGAGCTTGGGTTTTTTTAACATCCCAGGTGGTAGACAGGGTCTTCAATAGCGGTCTCGAAAGAGGAAGGGATTGTGCTTGAAGTCACGAAGTAATCGTCTCCAACTGGAACTATTTGCTCAACAGGATGTCTGTCCTAAGGCAGAGAGGCAGCTGTAACCCGGTCCATTGTGCGTGCAGTAGGTACGAGGGGCGGGGACTGGAGAGGACTGGAATGCATCCCACGTCTCGAACAAAGGACGTGCGTGTGCCCACAACAAAATCAGTGACTGAATTGGACAGTTTAATAAGCACACGGTACAGGAGTGTCTTGTACCTCTTTGGTATGAAGGATGACCGATTTCCAAGAAGTCCCGACATCGAAATTTGTTTGTTGTCCGGGTTAAGTTTTTTTTTTTACTGATGTTGGAGACAGCAAGTACCTCTGAAACGTCGGCATACTTCTACCAGACTACACGGAGATACAATCCATAAGACAGCCATTTACATATTCGCCACCGTGAGAACCTCAAATTTCACATCTGGCATAGTTGTTTTTAAACAGCGAATCATCATCAAATATGTCTGACGTTTGTCGTAGCAGGAACTTTTGCACAAAGACAGTTATTCAAATAACTATCTCACTCTGCAACAGGCCTTCGTCTTTGACGATCTGATAGTCGCTCATTTGGTTAAAAAGTTCCTCGCCTTTTTCTATCGGAATCTGAAATTTTAACGTGTTCACAAAAGTCTACCCTGAGCAAGTTGAATCTAATCCACACCCTGACATCCCACTTCTTTAAAATCCACTTTAATAATAACGTCAAGTCTGTGGCGCCTAGAACATTCTTCTGCTTGTAAGATTTGAGGTTTTCACAGCGGGGGGTATGAAGATTTCTGTCTTCTGGGATGTTGCGCTGTGTAGTCTGGTCGATGTCTACCAACGTTTCAGAGGTCATACTGCCTCCGTCATCAGAGTATGAAGATTTCTGTCTTCTGGGATGTTGCGCTGTGTAGTCTGGTCGATGTCTACCAACGTTTCAGAGGTCATACTGCCTCCGTCATCAGAGTATGAAGATTTCTGTCTTCTGGGATGTTGCGCTGTGTAGTCTGGTCGATGTCTACCAACGTTTCAGAGGTCATACTGCCTCCGTCATCAGAGTATGAAGATTTCTGTCTTCTGGGATGTTGCGCTGTGTAGTCTGGTAGATGTTAACCGACGTTTCAGAGGTCATACTGCCTCTTCTGCTTCATTGTTCTTGCATGATAGGTATTGTATTTATGTGAGATTACGAATCTGCGGTCCAGGTTAAGCGAATGGACTTCTAAATCTGACCAAACCATCTAACTTCAGGTCGATTTCCTTGGGTCATTGGATTTCCAACTGCCGTTTGGTTGCTGTCATTACGTGATTCGGAATGCTGGAGGTGAGTACCAGCTTAACCACACCTTGTGTTTGTCGTTGGACAAAGAAGCCTCGAAGCAACGCCGTTCACGCTTGTGGGACGCTGTTCGAATGGCCGTAGGTTAACTTGAAGGCTATCTTTATGGGAAATATAATTTCGCAGCCCTGAGATCAGTACGTGTAACTCGAAAACATCGTTTCATGAGGAAGGGCATATTTACAGAAAGGTGTTACCACTCACATAGACCAACTCCTTTGCCATAATCGTCTTTGAAAAGCTCATGGTTATTCAGCTGGTTATTCGGATGATTAAAAAATTCTTAACCGTTCGATTCCCGGCAAGGGAGAGGTTTTGCTCTTCGAGACCTTGTCCAAACAGGCTCTGGGGCCCTTCCAACCTCCAGTCCAGTTGGTAACAGGATCGTTTTCCGGGGGTAAAGCGACCTGAGCGTCAAGCTGACCACTCACTTCTAGTGATAAGGTCAAAATATGTGGAGTTGTTCCTCCGTACGTCTTCGTGGCGTGGTTGTTAATTAAGCACAGGAAAGATTTGGTTTATACGGATCGATGACAAAACATTTCTCGAATTTAATCATCTCATTTTCATAATAAAAAACTGAGATTTTGTTCTGTGTTGTTTCTAGACAAACCTCCTTCCTTGTTTGCAGTAACTAAGAATATGGGTAATCTCCAAAGAACTCACGATAATCCGTATCTTGGGCGTTCTTGTAGCTCGCTAAGTGAAGTGATTGATTAGCATAGACTGATGTGTGTGTGTGTGTCAGGGGCATGCTATGCGATTCTGTGATAGAAAGTATTTGTTAAGTCCCTTCCCTTCGTAATGAATGTCCCCTCTGTAGTATGCCACACGCTGGTTTCTTGCAGTGTGGATAAACGTCTTATTTCTGAGCATTTGATAAGAGACGGGTGTAATGGGGGCTTAGAAGGAAAGGTATGGTTTTTAAAAATGTCCCATCTTACTGAACATTGCCATGTTACGTGAAATATCACTGGGCATCGTTTGGATATAGAATTTTAGTCTTTTCGGTATCATGTATGCTCTAATGCAGTGGTATTCAACCTTTTTTTGTTCGCGTACCCCCAGATATAATTTCTCTTTAACTTTGTACCCCCAAAGTTGTTGGTGTATAATTCAAGTTATACATAGTATATAATCTCCCAAATCGAATGTCCTTACGTCCGGTTCTCCTGTGGCTAACCCTAAATCTGGCCCTGATTATTCAGTGTTTATCATAAAATAATATATTTTTTTTAATTTCACGTACCCCCTAAGATGTCTTCGCGTACCCCAGGTTGAATACCACTGCTCTAATGTAATGTAAAATAGATTACATTAGGAAGTGTAGGAAAGTGGGGAAACCTGCCTGAAAAGGGACTCACCTGCAATAATAAATGTTCATAAGATGGCAGGTGTTCGGAAGAAACGAAATAAACAATGGAGTAAAGTAGGAAAGGAAATAAATAGGATTTGAGTGATGATGGAAGCAGCAAGGACCTCTTAAACGTTGGTATAATCATGAGAGTTGCCATCTCATTTGTTTATTCTGTGCAGTTACATACGTATCTGACAAAATGAACATTTAAGGATAATAAATGTTCAAAATTGCAGTGAATGCTTTTGGAAAATACGTTGAGTACTCCTTCACAATTTTGCTGACCAACTTGCCTTGGGCAGTGCTGAGCTGACATTCATATCTGAAGAATGATGAGTGGGGCTAAGGCAGGTTGGGTTAGAAGAGAGGTAAGTGGTCAGCTGGACGGGAATGTTTGCAGGGAAGGAAGTTGTATGCATTGTTTGACTCGGTCGACACAGCGGTGTGGAAATTTTGAGAGAGGGTACAGGGGTATATGCCCTTGTCCTCACATTCCAGCGTTTTCCTTTCTTTTTCGATGAATGTATCCAGAGTTGTTAGAAACACTAGCCAGGTCTGTTCCCTTCCATGTTGGAATTTGTTTTTCTGTTAACCTAAATAGTGAACCCAAATGTTGGTTTTCAGAAAATGAGGTTGCAGTAGTAACCACTTGACGGCCATGCTAACCTGCTCGACCCTCCGCAGTCGTTCCGACATTATAAATAATAATAACAATAAAAAAATAAATAAAGAAGCTTCATGATGTAGATGTTGGTCTGCATATTTCATCTCCGAAATTACTTGAAGGATTCTGATAAAATTTGGTACTGAATTCAGGTCTGCGTTGAACATTGTGTCGAATTTAATTTTCGTTCCTACCTTCTAGAAGATCCGACTTCGAAATTCATTGTTTTTATAAGAAATGCCTCATCGTGGGAAAAAAATACAGCTCTAATTACGATCTAAGAGTTTAATATGGGACGTTTATCGTATGACAAACATTCAACGATGTGCATGAATAACTGTTTTCTGGATGTCGCTGTTGGACCTGTAATGTCGTAACTTTGCGCCAATGAGATTCTATCTGCATTTGTATCGGAAATAAAAGAACCAAGGTCAATGATGTGGGTATATGCAAAATCACAAGGAAAACGTTTGGAAGGAAAACAAGTATTACTCTAACTCTCTGTTCGCTCTTAAACTCACATCCTTCGGGAACTTATCGTTGCGCCTAGCGGTATCTGTGTGTGAATCTGTAGAACTGATACATCGCAGTTGCACTGGTTAAGTTCTATGAGCCTTTATTCAGTCGTTAAAAGAAAACCAGACACGTGCTGGAATATTTTCGCTTCGAATATTTAAAAAAAAAATCTTCGTGCAAGTCAATGTTAATTATTTTGACCTCAGTATCTCGAACATGTAAATGTTAACGCTGACAGTTCTTTAGTGCCTTGCATTTTTATTTCCAATTTCGTTACGCTTCATATACATTCATTACAAGATCCTCCACATTTTCTACCAAAATACAGCGATAGTAAAAACACACACACACACACACACGTGGTTTATGGTTTAATTGTGACACTAGACAATGTATTCGCAATGAAGAATATATTATCACAGACAGATATGTTTAATATTAACATGTACATATAAGGATAAATTATGACATATTTCACATTACATAATATTTATTTTTCTCAAAAGTATTCGATAAGAACGTAATAGCAGTAGCTTTATACGCAGATTCTGTATTTTAATCTGGCAACGGCCACATTCACTGCCTCAATGTGGTAACAGTTGCAGCACGATATAACAGGCACATCAAATTTAAAACTTTTCACTTATTATGTCATACGTTTCGACGAAAGTCTTATCTTTCTGATTCGTAAAGCTCCCTTATAAGTAGCAGATCGCACACCCGTCATACATAAAATATGTAAAACAGGAGGAAATCAGAACGCCTGTTTGTTAAAATTGTTGCTGCATGTTTACAAGGAAGTGGCAACGCCGATTTGCCTTAGTATGTGCAGACACTTTAATTTAACAGTCAAAGGATTTGTTGCGGTGCCATGTTCAACCGAGGATAATGAACATTTTCAAAATAGGACCCTTAAAACAATTTCTGTTTCGCCGGGAACAATTCCAAGCAAGGAAATTAAATGAACGTCGTCAAATGCAACCAGCGTTACGTTAAGGTACTCTTGGTTGTGTGACTGCAAGGCGTTTAAGACCTTTTTTGAGAAGTATGTGTTAAAAAGTGACGGCAGAATTGTGTTATCAGAACGAGGAAATCTGTAAACTATTTATTTTTTAGCTTAAGAAGATAGCGTGGCTTTCAAAGTCAACATTTCATCAAATAACTCTTGAAGTGTTGTAATCGTTTAAAATCACTAGTTAACCCACATATGGGTTCTGATGCCGAAATGTTTTTTTTAGATTATTTTGCAAGAAATATGATCAGTGTATTGAAGGATGCATTTAATTCTGTAAAATAACTAAGAGCAGCTCTCCTTTGAGCGCTTATAAAATATAGCTTGTTTCTAACGAAAACTGTAGCCATGTTAAGTAAATTTGGATAGTAAATAATAATGCCGTTGAAGGAATAAAAGAAAGCCACCTTATGGGTTAGGTTTAAATTTCTCAGCTTGGTTACTGCTGCTTTCATGCTTACTGAACAATTTTTTGTACGTTTTTTGCTTTAGATTTCGTTACACCTGCGAGGTTACTCCAAAAATCTGTAGCCCTAACCAAAAAATGTAATGCATGTATCATAGGAAGTGAAGGTTGATATTAATTTTCCTTTCTGGTGGCTCTATAAAATGAACTTGTCATTCCATATTTTTCTTAACTGCTTAAACACAAACAGGTTTCTTCGTGCATGGCAGACGAGTTAAGGAATTAGCGGAACACGATAGAGACGTTGAAGCGACTGTAGAAGTTATCGGGTGTCTGTGTATTCAGTTCTGGAAACCAAGTTTACTTGCCGCTTCTTTTTAAACAACGTACAAGTTTCACACATTATAGATAAGCCGTGCTTTTATATACATAATATGATGCTTTAAGATAATTTATGTAGACACAGTAATTACGTACAATATGAAATCTGTTATATACTCATTTAATGCGTCTAAATTTAATATACATTGAAAATTTAGTGTTAGAAAGTAGGTACCATACTCACAAATCACACCTGGTTGATCTGCGAATTTGTGAGATTATTCTGCAGTGAGATTTTATGTATTACTATTTTTTTTCTCAGCAGTGATTAGTTTGAAAGTATCGCTGAAATTGTCATCACTGTGAATACTACGTAAATAACCAAATTGTTAACAGTGACTAAAAAATTATTTTGTTGGAAACTAAGTATAATTTATATATAGGTCTGCTCTTCTTTTAAACGTAAATACAAACTGTTATAGGCAAGGTGTAATGTCGGATTAATTAGCAGTTAAATTATTCGTTGCTACTTATGTGAAAAGGAACTGACATCGGAATTTACGATTTTTTTGAGTTCTAACCCTAGTTTTATGTTTTAAATACTTTTCTTTGCTGGTTAAGATTGTTGTATTTTAGATGGCCCAATTTATTTTATTATGGTCCTAAGCTAATATTTGCTCGACCTTTCCCCTATGTCAAGTTGTTATAAATGCTTCTTTCTCGAATTATTGTTAGTCTTTGCAAGTCTAGATACGTTTTTGGTCAACTGTGCACATTGTTTCGTGGTCAATATTTGGGAGTTCACTTAATAATTGATTATGTCATTGTATTTGCTACAAGAATGTGTTTATGGTGTCTGCAACTCAGCAAACTAAAGTTCCGATTTGAACCTCCGACGTAACAGAACGTTCTTTTAGATTCGTTTTAGGTCCGTCGCGTTCTGTTTGGGCGAGACATTGAGATAGAAAATTCCCACAGAAGAGGGAATTTCCTAAAGAAGACCTGTACAATTCACGTATCTCCTCGTTATGCAATATTTTAAATTCCCCACTCATCTCATACTTCCTAGGTCCAATTATCTTTCTGACCTTCCTTCAATATAAGATAACATGTTTCACAACCATACGAGACAACAGGAAAACTTATTGTTTTATACATCCTGATCTTTAGTGTTCTAGATGGCAAACGAAATTATAACAGTTTTTAAATTTGATAAAAACAAGTTTTTCCCGAATATATTCAGCCCTTGATTTCATCATGGACCTCATTTGTATGTTATTGTTGTTCCCAGATAGTTAGATTTTGAAACATTTTTAAATGATGTATTTCTCATAATTATGTTCTGCCACCACTACAGCAATAGCGAATGCTTTTTTCCACCCCTGAGATGCACAAGATAATATTGTGTAAGGACACATTCGCTCGCACAGTCACTCCATCTTTGAATCAGTATCCGCAATTAGTGGATGTCATACCTGCGTGTAGATGGCATTGTGGTCGGTCGTGTTACATCCATGATGAATGTAGCAAGACAGTGGTATACAATGGCTGGGAGAGGTGATCCAATCATCGTATCTCTCTGATTGCCGCAGCATTGCAGCTAAAGGAAAAATAAATACACAGTTTCTATTAATACTCATTGAACATAGGCTATGAGATATTTTCGTTCTGAACAGCAGACATATTTTCTTCCCTTTACCACTACCCAAATCACCGTGGACTGCACGAAGTTAAGAGTCTGGCCTTCTTGTTCATCGTGTAGGTCTCGATACTCAAGTTCAATCGCGTGCCAAACTCTTCCAGGAGTTTCTCCCTGTAAACGTACATGGCCATTCCTACAGTTATTTCTAGCAAGAACTTCGTCAGCAGAAATCCTCCGTACTGAAACAGGATGAACATGTATTCATTGATAGATTATTAACATGGTGCCTATATATAATATGGCGCTGACGAAAGGAAGGTGTCCAGAAGACAACACATCTTCGTACTCACCGCCGCAAAAACCTCAGATCCTACCAAACTTCAAATTAATTGTCTGCAGTGTCGAGTGAAAAACTAAGATTGCGATCCGAGGTTTTCGCGGCGGTGAACTGTCGATTGTGGTCTTCTTGCATTTGGTACCGTGTAGTCTAACAGGTGGTTATAAACATTTCACATTCAACCCTGAAGATGGAGTCATTACGTTCCTCCGAAATTTGGACGACGACGACGTCACAACCCATACACCTGAGATCGATAAATTACAGGATATATCTGAATTATTTACCAGCAGGTGGCACAGAAGTCCCAGCTTAGTTTTATGTCTGGTTAGGAATTTACTAGTACATGATGTGCACAGACGCATAGGTCCTTTGCTATTTACATGCTCCACGACATTGTCCTTGTAATTAGCACAACAGTAGTTTCTTTTGCATTATTCGTTATTTCGTTCTTTTCAGTTTTCTGCCCCGTTATGATACTTTAAATCGATTATTGGCCTTCAATTAATTTGTTCGAGCTGATGTACAGAATTTCCGCCATCCATGGAGCCTAAGAGCTTGAGAAGCACGTCCTTTGCTCTAATTACACGCCTCTGCGTCTTTTATGAGCTTATAAGGACTTTGTAGTTTTGACGCTGTAAATCAGGTGTTTGCTCCAGTCGCGTGTTTGACAACAAAAAATTTCCGTGGTCGTATTTTGTCTTGAACAGTTCCAGATTACTGTGCGGTAGGCAATTTTACGCACAACCGTGCAATGTGTGCGTGTGACCACTAATTATGTTCACCAGACGCTTTGTCCGTCAGATTCCAGCCTGTAAGAAGGGGCCTAACTTGAGAAGCTAAGAATTTCGGACACGTGTTTTCTGAACTTTTATTATCTTACGCGTATACTATTACAATATTTACCTGTTCCCGTTAATATTATGCAAGGTCGATAAAAAAATTGGAGGAAAACTATAACAGGCTGGGACACGTTTCCAAGGAGGCATAAAGTTAGTGAAGTTCCACACACAATAGTTTCTTGGAAATTACTGAAAGTATGTATAGCAATTATCAACACGACTTTCACGTCCATGTATAGAATCCAGACACCTAGCAATGTACCAGTACCGTTAATGTGTATAACAACTCGAGAACGGCTGAACAGTTTTAATGAAATTTGGTATTACGGAGTTTTACTGGAGTCTGTCGACACATTCCAGTTTCGTTTGAAATCGGACAACATAACGGTCACTTTACTTGAAGACCTGCTCGCAGAAATGATTGGGTGGGGAATTTCTAGGTTGTCACGGTCGTTTCAATCACCATGGTTACCTTGGTTCCTACAGCTATATTGATTACCATGGCGACATGGGAAATCTCCAGCCAAATCTGACGTCACTGACTCCATTCTAAAAAAAAAATCTAGTCAGATTCTAGCGAGCGCTCCGGAATTGTTACGACATGCTTACATTTCCTGACTTCTTCGCTTAGGTAGACTTGAATGTCTAGTATTGTCGGATGTCCGCCCTGTTATTAGAAGTAGTCGCCTTCCACGATACTTCCGCGCCAAAATTCTGTTCGCGTTTCTTATGTCCTCTGAGGCAGCCATGTCCTTAGTTTAACTACCATAACGATACTCCTAATCAGACATCTGTAGAAACCACGAGCTGAAAAACCTGCATTTGCTTGGTCACGAAATTTCCCGCCTTTTATAGGATCCGAATGATTACAAGAGCCTGATGGTTAGCCCTTTTCTGAGGCAGGTGATCCAGCCCACGCCCTCGTACTAGATTTATATTTAATATTATCCTCCGATGTATTCCTAAGTCTCCCAACTGGTGTTTTCATTTCAGACATTCACACCAAAATTATAATGAATCTCCCACGACTCCATGCGGGCTACACATCTCGCCAATCTCTGATTTGATCGAATTACATGTCTGAGAAGGTATCAGTTGATCAAGAAATTTTCCACTTTTAACAGAAGTCGAATGTTCATTTCCGTGTTCAAAAAAGCATGTAATTGGACTGTATGCTTAGCCAGATGGATCCAGTCCACATCTTCACGTTCTGTTTAGTCCAACTCCATTTTAATGCGAACCTGCCCTTTACACACAGGCGTTTTCCCTTCAGACTTTATTTACTGCATTTATTGTGTCTCCATGCGTGCTGCATATCCCCAACCCTGTTCTTGAATTGATCATTCTGACGATACTTGGTTCAGAATACAAATTAAAGTTGTCCACTGCGCGAATGCCACATTTTTCCGTGTGGAAAAAAGATTATACATTTCTGATGCATCACAAAAGCAAATTTTTACCGGAATAGGACAGTCTCCCATACCATATGGACTAGCTCGTGAATCTCTGCGCTTTTCACGCCTTGTTAACTTACCCCAAATACAATGTTGGATAGCACGAACAGTACTGATGTGCAGGTCCGTGCTCTTGAACTATGTAGTTTCTTGTCGATCCATCTCTTGACGTGGACACACAGATAATAACCTTAGGCGAAGGTAATAAACATTTCTGGTGTGTAGACGCTTGCATACTGGCTCCTTACACCTGTCCTATGTAGCCGAGGGCCCTCTCGACATGCACATGCGCCATCCTAACAATAGTTGTGACAATATAAATTGCATCCTAAAAGGTCAGCTTGCTTTTCACTAGAAGTATATATTTCTGCAAATTACCTCAGTGATGTTTTGAGGTTTCAGAATTTTCATTGCAGTATCAGGGACACACTGAGGTGAATGCGTTTCAACCCAAAGATTATGCCTAAACAGATTAATAAGTTTTTGAACACGAAATTAATAATCACTCCAGCTATTAACTTATCACTTAAACTTTATTCGTTGTTTGTTTCTAGTTTTATTTTGCTCTGATTTTATTTATCTTTTCTCTCTTGTTTCCCTGATGAATTTTGACTGGGAAACCTCTCGGAAAGTGACGCTTGGAAGATGGAAATTATAGAAGTTCGTATCGAAACAGGTGTTCCAAAAAACGTGAGTTGGGTTCAGTGGCCAAGGGCAGAAACCAGTACAGGATGTTTATTTCGTTTATTTAGGGTCGCTGTTAGTAGCTCAGATTGTTTTGCGTTAAGAGTGCACCATTGAATCGGAAATTTCGAAATAAACATGTTAACCTTAAACACTTAAGCACTCGTTAGCTCTGTAAGTGTTACAAGATGTGAGGACGAACATGCAAAATTGTTGTAGATTTCTTTACAGGTTCTGATGACGTCAGAAGCATTATGCCGGTTTGCGAATAAGACTGGGTCTGCAGTCTCCAGATTTAAACATTTTCGCTTCTTGTAACTCCTTTCCCTGTCACCATGGCATGGCGGGTAGAGGAACAGACTCCAGGTATGGAGGCTAGCAGCGAATGTATTGAATAAGCAGTCACGGACAAAGGACAAGGGGTGGTCTGAAACAAGGAGATGCTTTGTCTTCACTGCTCTTTAACTTTGCGCTAGAATACACCATCAGGAAAGTCCAAGACAGGCAGAAGGGTTTGCATTTGAATGGGACACATCAGCTATTGGCATATGCTGATGATGTTAATTTATTGGGGGAAGATATGAATACAATAAAGGGGAACGCAGAAGTTTTACTGGAGGCTAGTAGACGGGTGGGGCTAGAAGTAAATTCAGAAAAAACTAAGTACATGTTAGTATCTCGTCGTCAGAAGACAGGCGGGCAGAATTGTCGTAGGGTGGCTAATAAGTCCTTTGAAAGTGTTAAAAAGTTCAAATATCTGGGAACAACAATAACAAATCAAAATGACACTCATGAGGAAGTTAGGAGGAGACTAAATTCCGGAAATGCTTGCTACTTCTCGGTTCAAAATATTTTGTCTTCCCGTCCGATTTCTAAGAACCTGAAAATTAAAGTATATAAAACAATAATTCTGCCTGTTGTTTTGTATGGGTGCGAAACATGGTCTCTCACTCAGAGGGAGGAACACAGATTGCAGGTGTTTGAGAATCGGGTGTTGAGGAGGATATTTGGGCCTAAGAGGGAAGACGATGGGGCATGGAGAAAACTGCATAATGATGAGCTTAAAAATCTGTACTCCTCCCCCAGTATTGTCAGGGTGATTAAGTCGAGAAGAATGAGATGGGCTCATCTAGTTAGTTAGTTAGTTAGTAACTCCTTTTCCAATTACTTACTGAAGATATCTTCTATGCAGACGAAAAATCCATTGATGTACGCAACACCAGACATCTGTCAGACATTGCTGTCATGTAAAGCAGTATGCTTCGTATGTTGTTCTTGACACAACAGTGCGTCTTCTGCACTGTCTCATTGTTTTATGATGACACGTAGTCTACGTGGGGGGGGGGGGGAATGAGGAAACACGACATTGACCAACAATATTATTAGCGGAAGAAGAGGTATATTGACATTGGAACCATAGATTATTGGCAGGTATTTATTATTAATTCGCATATCTTGCATTATCGTAGGGTCGCGTAGGATTTTCATTGTTGCGCTGGTGACTGGCCACTTCCGAAAACTTACCAGCCTCTGTTAATAACTAACAGGTCAGTATATGCTGCATGTGATATGAGAAATATGAGAGGACAATTTCGGATTGCGTCAGAAGATGTGGTGAAGGAATTGGCTGTGGCATATTTGAAGTTGTTTTCGTCATTCTATCGTGGGAACGAACGAAAACTATTAAAATGTTGGGATAGCCTTTCCCGCAACTCAAAATTTGCACTTTGTATTTCCCAAATTCGTAGGAGTAGTAGCATGTTGTATGACGTGGGTGTTACTTCGTGTTCAAAATCAATAATGCTACAGGAGAGCTTACGCACCGAGTATTGCGTTGCACTAGGTCCGACGCCGATTATTTTATTTGGTATTATTGTGTAACTTGTTTGGAAAGGTATAGGTGAAGGTACTTTTACGCCACATTCCAGGCTTCCGTGTTTTTGCCTCCAATATTCTTCTCATATGCTCACGTATTTCTATGATCTCAATTTGTAGGAGAGCACATACATACACACACCAATGAAAACGTAATAATCAATTATTAAGACTGCACAATAATTTACTTCCTTAAACAGATAAGACTCTGTTTACACGTTGCTGTGCTTACCTGCTCATTCAAATTAACGAGAGGAATAAGGCTGAAAAGCGATCAAGATATTAAAGAAATCATTCCAAGTTGTGTTTCATCAGGTCCCTTCCAGTAGTAGAGGCTTATCCTTCTGCTACCGTAATTTTAAACATTCCTTTCTGAGTAAAGTTACTTACAATTATTCTTGACACAGGCTAGTGAGCATGTTCAGGTAATATATGTAAAATTCCAGAAAATTTTCGATCGTGGAAAGAATTTAGGGAGTTTGGAAGGAAACTGGGAAGAAATGGAAAAGAAAATATTTGATTTTCAACAGTAAAAAGTTTAATTCTGCTTCAAGAACAGAAGGATAAACACATTGTAAACTTGATAGTCCTATTACATTTTTGATGAATTTAAATGACAGTAATTTTTATCATAAACACTATCTGTGTTTTAGTTGTGACCTAAAAATCGCACAGTTACACTAATTAACTCCTACCTTAATGGTCAGCTATCACATAGGAAATTAAGAACTCCTTTGACTTGACTGGCAAAGTTAAGCGTAAACAGTCTCACCAACTTGCTAATGTAAAAATCCATATAAATTCTCAGTATTCCAAATTTTATCTTTCAGTTTATTCTTTCCCACAATTTTAGGTTCTCTCAGGGGAAAAAAATTGAATTCTTACCCTACCTTACATCTCTGTGGAAAACCTTAATCACAAAAGTCAGAGTCACCTCTCTATCTCACTTCCAACACTTAAAGGTTTAATACAGATCAAATGTATCCATTTCAGATGAGTGGTGAACGAAGTCAAATCATCAGCACGATGCAGAACTACAGGAAAGAATGTGATGTTTTGGTGAGGGCTGAGGGAGTTCGTCTGCTGGAGCTATCGTGTTTGAGGGAGGCTCTTGAGCCACTTTTGGCCTGCACATACTGCAATACAGGGAGGCTGGAGTTGAAAGAGGACCTGAAGAAGGCTGACAAGCTGTACTCCGCACTATACCTTGCCTGCGGAATGTGTACACATAGGTTACAGATACATTCATCTTGGTCTCTTACAGAGGAGACACATTCCTGTCGCTGGCATGTGAACCGCTGTACTGAGCAACTGAAGATAAACCTGAGCATTGATGAAGAGCTGATCAAGAAGATCTTCCAGGGGTACAGAGTACCATACCAGGAACCCACTCATCATGATCAGAAAATGGAAGGAATGATTTTGGATGAGTTAGAAGAAGGGATTGATGACAATGTTGCTATAGGAGATATTGGAGAAGAGGAGGAAATGCTTAAGACTCTAGAAAATGTGGTGAATGGCAAGGCCTCTAGTTCTAAAGCTGCCCCAAAGAGTAAGAGTTACACGTGCTTGTTCTGTCGTCAGGAGTTCCGTTCCCGTAAAGTACTAAAGCAGCACTCCTGTGAACACAGTGAAAAAGTCACTTTCTCTTGTCCAGAGTGTATGGAGACTTTTCAGACAGAAGATACTTTCAAATTACACACGAAGTTGCATCGTGAAAGTAAACTCCGATGTGCTGGCTGTGACAAAATGTTCAGAAATCCATCCAGACTCAAGCAACATTTGCGAACACACACAGGTATGATTTTATAGCAGCCTGAATCCAGATATCAGCAGGCCCAACTTGATGGGCATTATTCCAACGTTCTGCTACGTGAGAGTTTGATGACTTGAAATACATTTTTTCAAATTCCATACATTTCTTTGCCTGTGTATTACAAAGTAATCTCAGTGGAATTTTGTGTGAATGGTTTAAAAGCCCTACTTTTGCTTGCATGTTACTTTGTTAGTTAGTTAATTTGTTTGTGTCTATCCTTACATCTTTCTTTCTTCTTCCATCTTTTTTCTAATAGAGCACTAAACCTGTAGAAAATACAATTAAGATATAGTCCAAAATGTAGCAGGGTTGTAAACACAATTACCCAATTACCGTATGATTTATATTTCCCCATACGAATATGTCAAAAATTGAAACATACATTTATTTTACTCATTACAGGTGAGAAACCTTTTTTGTGTTCCACTTGTGGGAAGTATTTTGGAGATTCTTCAACTTTGAGGAAACACCAGAAGCATATGCACAATTCTGAACGCTCTCTCAGTTGTAAAACTTGTGGAAAGACATTTTACCACATGGGACACCTCAAGGTGCACATGCGTCGTCACACAGGAGAGAAACCATATTCATGTAATATCTGTGGAAAAGCTTTTGCATATCCTGATAGCTTGAAGAAGCACTCTCGTATACATGCAGACCATCGTAAATTCGTATGCAATGTATGTAGAAACAGATTTGGGAGCTTGAAAAAGCATACAAAAAGTCACCCACAAAAGGAGCTGTGGCAGGAACAGCAATGGCAGCAATGTGCTCATGGTGAAGCAGCTGGACCTAGGGAACGTGATCCAGTTACTGAACCAGTGGAAGAACTGGTATCTGTAACAGGCACCGATTTGATATCACTTACCCAAGTCGAAGAAACTCGACCTAGGGAACTTGATCCAGTTACTGAACTAGTGGAAGAACTGTTATCTGTAACAGGCACCGATTTGATATC